TGATTATGCTGTGTATCTACAAGAATCAGACTATAATGTTGGAGCCGAAAATGATCTTGAAACTTTTTCACAAAAAATGGATGTGAAAATGACATTTCTTAATGGTGATCTAGAAGTGGTCATTGAACACTTTAATACTGAATTAATGATTGTTGATTCTTTGACAAAAGACATGCCACCATTAAGATTTAAGGATCATGTGGATAAAATGGGATTTGATTCCTTTATGTAATTTTCATTATAAGAACCAATGATTAAATTGATGAAACTCTATTTGTGATATTTTCTCATATTTGGTTTTCCTTGTGTACACATTAATGTTGAGAAATATCATTGAGGTTTGGACCTAGAATAAACATAGGGTTTATTCATTAAGTTATATGAGCGGGTGTTTAAGAGACATGATACATTGTGATACATGTAAGATAATACTTGTATTTAGAGGATCCTATCGCCATGATTCATGTATTTTTGTTTCTTGAAAGTGAGAATTGATGGATTTTGGATATTATATCGAGCGAACTGTATGGACCACGTGGGAGAATGTAAACATTTTGCATTTTTAATGGTCCATCATTTCCCTCATTTATTGGATATTAAACACCATCTCATAACCGTCCATTTTTCCTAACCGTTCATATTTCGTATCTCCTTTGATGGGAAGGAGTTTATAAAGGAAGTAGTGTTATTGGTCCCCGAGTCAAGACTTTCACGAAATTGCACCATCGCAAAGAGGTCTTGAACATTTGGAAGCACCAAACACAATTTGAAATTTGGTATTTTGAAGATCAATGGCTGGAGGTTAGTTTCTGCTATTTATTTTTCGCATTTGATCTATATGTTGCTTGTTTATTCACACATGGTAGATCATGATAAAATCTAACATGTGGTCCACTGGTTTTTCCAACAAACTAACTCCAATTATCACCAAAATCAGATCTACACATGTGGCTGTGGAAAGTGGCGACTTGGGTGGCAACAACTACATGAAGAAGCTCGTTGTAGTGTGGTCAAGGGGAGGATTTTGCCGTTGAAGCTACAAATGAAGCGAAATCACACTTGCTACATAGCGATGATGCTACTATTGACGGTGGCACTATAGGGATGATAGTTGTAAATTTAAAGGTTGCTTGGTGGTGGTGTTACAGTTGGTGATGAAGCTGCATGGATGCAACATTTCAACAATTGGTAGATATTGAAGTGATGTTGGGCTGGGTGCGATGGCGCTACAATGTATGTGGGTCCAACGAGCACATTCCTTCTCAGTCTTTCTCTTTTTCATCGAGGAGGTTGTCGAAGATGGTGGTGGTGGTGTTGGGTAGAATGAGGTAAGAACAATCTTTGACTATGTGATTTATGACTAATAAATATTTGTAAACTATTATTTGTATGATTTGTGACTAATATACGTAATTGTGATCCATAAATTGTGTGATTTGTGACTATGACCCATAAATTATGTGATATGCGATTGTGACCTGTCTAATTTCAATTATAGGTTACAATATTTTATCAAAGGTTATGAATGGGACACTTGATTTTTAAAAGTTTGTTTTACAAGTTTGTCAGTTTTGAAATTATATTCTTAAAATTTGTAGTTGTGGACTTTTGTCCTTGCACATTTATGTAAGTTGGTCCATAATGGGCCAGTCGTTACATGCCCGTTTTCTACCGGGTTAGCCCAATTTCACGCCATTAAAGTTTAGCTAAGCAGGAATTAGTTAGTCTTGTTTAGTGTAACTAAAATTTAAATTTTAAATAAATTTTGATGAAAGTCGATGAGATGTGTGATTGAATAATTAATAAAAATTATAAATTTATGAAATTTATGGTTGAAAAGGAGTTTTTGAAAACAATTTAAAAATTGAAGGTGAAATGTAGGCTAAAATTGTGGTCTAATTAGCACTAGCTATGAATTGGGGAAATTTTTTTTACAAGAATTTCACAGTTTAGCGTGTCACTATGCCTTCTNAGTACAAAACGACGAAGGGAAGAAGAAAACCAGACCGGAGGATGAAGGAGCACCAACAGAGTTAACTACCATTTCAAATGCAACGCCGTCATATGTGTTTAATTCAAACGGCGTCGTTTTACTCCAAATAAATGTATTAGTTAGACAACGTTCTTTGCTGCCTTCCTTTTTGTGAAACACGATTCCCGCTATGAGTGTATATATACATCCATGTGCGAAGATCTGTAGGCTGTCAAATTATGTTATGCAGTTTCGGTTATTGGTGGATTGATTCTTCAATTCATTTTATCTCTCATCTCTTTTCAATGTTACAACCATTTTCCCCTCCTCAATTTCTATTTTTCTTCATTTAATTGGTTAACACTCAGCTCACTTCAGCTGAGATCAACTTCTGTTGAGTTACAATTAAGGAGGAACTGAATTTGGAGTCTGACTCGTGACAAAATGGCATCTGAGCAGAGAGCAAACGTATTATATTGGGCATTTACAAACCATGGATACACGGGCCAAAGTTGTAGATGACCATTTGTAGAAACTGGATTTAGAGGTTGCAAATCTGGGTAAAGCCTTCAAAGCTGTTACCAGCAAACTGGAGGCCTGAATGGAGTCCTCAGAGCAAACACTTCACGTACTTTGTCATAGGCAAGAAAAAAATTGAGGATGCTGTATGAGACATGAATCAAAAGTATGAAAAATTAGTGACTATAATGGCCCAAATGACTGCTGATTTTGAAACTGAACAGGAGAATGAGAGCATGGAAGGATCCATGACTAACATGAGATCTGGTAGTATGTTAACCATAAAAGGAAGTAGTGGTCAAGAGAATAGTAGTCGTGCTAGAGGTGAAATCAGGGGAGGAACTAATCTACCTAAATTTGATTTCCCACACTTTGAGGGAGAAGGACCTAGAGAATGGCCGAGGGAAGCCATAAAATACTTCGAACTCCACCAGATTTTCGATGAACTGAGGCTAGGAATGGCGGAGAAGTACTTGAAGGGGAAAGCAGATATATGGTTTGATGGGTTCGTTGCCAGTCAACCTGAAGCAGACTGGAGCTTGTTTTCTGAGGAGCTTTGTAGGATGTTTTCAGAAACTACTGGGAAAGATGTGGTTGAGACCTTTAGCAAAATTAAACAACTGGGAACAGATGAAGATAAAGGCTTTGAATCAGGAAGTGAGGAGATCATGGAGATATCCATTAATTCATTGGTTGGGAGGTGGAAACACCAAACTAGAGTTCCTGGAGTGATCAAAGGGAGGAAGGTGTCCAACTGGATTGACAATAGGAATACCCATAGCTTTTTTGATGAGAAACTAACTAGCGAATTGTAGTATGCCACTGATGGAACAACCAAGTGATCATTAGGGTAGTCAATGGTGAAAAACTGGAAAGTAACGCTGTATGTTAGCCAATGGTTTGGAATGTACAAGGCCGGGAATTTCTTTACAATCTCAAAACACTTAAGCTTGCAGGAAGTGACATGGTGTTAGGAGTAAATTGGATGACCAAATTTGGTCCAATCAACTTTGACTATGCAAATGGGTGTATCAGATTCAGGAATAATAATGAAGTGGGGGATTTGAAGAGTGAAATTCAAAACATCTTGTCAAAATGATGGGAATAGAAGGGATAGAGAAAATGTTAGGTAAGGACTATTATGGGATAGTGGGATAGTTATACACTATCAAAGAGGAGAAAGGTGGGGATATACCTAACAAGATAGTGGAGGTTATTCACAAATTTCCAAAGGTGTTTGAAGAACCAACAGAATTACCCCCTCCTAGGTCACATAACCACCATATTCCATGGAAAGAAGAGGAACAACCATTTAGGATCGGACCTTATATATGTCCTTTTATTTAGTAAACTGAAATAAAGAGGCTGGTGGTAGGGACGTGGAGATACAAATTAAACCAACAGTTAAAGGAAAACCTCTCACAAGCAAGTAAAAGGGTGAAGCTTTATGCTGATAAAATTAGATCAGAAAGGTCATTCGTAGAAGGTGATTGGGTTTTTCTGAAGCTACACCCCTATGCACAGAAGTCAGCGGAACACATAGCTGACCATAAACTAAGTGGTATGTGTTTTGGCCCATATCAGGTTATTAAGTAGGTAGGAGTAATAGCCTACCATTGGCATTACCTAAAGGTTCAAAAGTCCGTCCAATCTTCCATATGACACTACTGAAAAACAAGCTGGGTGATAAAAGTATGCCACTGTTGCAACTACCTGAAATTCGACCACTGTAGATAGAACATTACTCCCTTGCCATCTTGCAGTCCAGGTTGGTGAACCACAAGAAACACACAGCACTTCAATGGCTTATACATTGGTCAGGTACTCCACCAGACAGTATGACTTGGGAAGACTCAGATTGGATTAAATTCCAGATTCCTATATGTAGATCTTGGGGACAAGATCAAGGTGAGAGGGAGGGTTGTTATGTGCCTAGGAAGAACAAAACAACGAAGGGGAAGAAGAAAACCAGATTGGAGGAAGAAGGACCAACATAGTTAACTGCAATTTCAAATACAATGGCTTTGTATGTGTTTAATTCAAACGGTGTCGTTTTACTCCAAATAAATGTATTAGTTAGAAAACGTTTTTTGCTGCCTTCATTCTTACGGAACACAGTTTCTACTATGAGTGATATATGCATCCATGTGCGAAGATCTATGGACTGTCGAATTATGTTATGCAATTTCAGTTAATGGTGGATTGAATTTTCAATTCATTTTATCTCTCATCTCTTCTCAATTTTACAAACTTTTTTCCCATCCCAATTTCCTTTTTTCTTCATTTAATTGGTTAACATTCAGCTCACTTTAGTTGAGATCAACTTCCACGAGTTACGGTTAAGGAGGAACTGAATTTAGAGTCTAACTCATGACATTCACTCATCTTTAATGGGTTACTCAATGTTCACTCATCTTTCTATATAATTATCCGTCCACCACTCATTTAACTCTTATCTCTCCAAATGGATGGAAAAATAATCCTACATGGCGTGCTAACGGAGTTAACCATGTCCATGTCACCAAAAATCCTCCGACCAAACATGCTTTTATCTTCCTTAAAATCAAAATCCCCAATTCAAAGCCTAATTCCATACCCCACAAATCAGAAATTCCAATTAGAAGACACCGGCCCTCAGCTCCTCTGTCGACCCATTAATTCAGTGGGTCACAATGAGAAAATGACCCGGTCGGTGGTGCACCTAGTGGAGGCTGCACGGATGAAGGTAGAGGCGCCTAGCGTGTGGAGGCTGCTTGTCTTGCATATGAACAAGAAGAGCTACAACAGCTAGATGGTAAAATGTCCGAACAGAACACAATGACCCGGCCGACGGTGCACCCACTCTATGATGCTACTTGCCCATATCTTAGTACTGTTGTCACCTGTCGAAAAAATGGATGCTAGAAATGCCACGCTGACTTCGGGGGCCAATTTTAAAGAATGAAATTTGATTTCAAATGCATTGAGTTCAGGAGAGGGTTACTGGAGAGAAATGTCATGAAAATGGTTGAGGAGAAATTCCAGGTTGTCAAGATTTAATGACATGTATTTGCCACTTTGATTTCTGTTTACACACGTATTTTTCCATCTATTTGGAGCGATGAGAGATAAATGAGTGGTTAATGGGTAATTATATGGAAAGCTAAGTGAGCATTGGGTAATAAGTTAAAATGAGTGAGTAAGTAGTAACACTTTCGAAGTTTAATGAGTGTTTATTAAATTTACTCTTTACTAGTCTCTTGTGATTTTTTGTTTTGTTTTGTTTTGTTTTTGTTTTTTTTGGTTAAACATAATTGGTTTTAATTTCTGTTTGTTTTTTGCTTTGGGATGTAGATTTCCATTTTTGCTGGTAGATAGAGTTGTTGAGTACAATCCTGGGGTGTCCGCTGTGGCTATCAAGAATGTGACAATAAATGATAATTTCTTTCCTGGGCATTTCCCTGAGAGGCCAATTATGCCAGGTGTGCTCATGGTTGAGGTAAATAATTCAAGTTATTATAACTACAGTCTTTGTTGTGCATGGGCCATAGGCTGAGCCAGAAATTCAAATCAATGGGGGTATTATTTAACTAAGAATAGAAGTGTTTAAAACAAGGTAAACAGGTAAGAATTTCCCCGCATTACAATCTTCCCTGAGTCTTCATACTTCGAAAACGTTCTCAATATACATAGACGAAAGATTCTTTCCTTTTTTCCGATTTGAGAACACTTTTGTTTATTGCAACATCCTTGTACTCCATTATATAGTTTAAAAGAATAACTGGATGAGAAAAATGATGCATCTTTTATTGGTTTTGATACACAATAAAGATGTCTTAGTAGAATTGGTTAGAATGTCAAGGTTCATCAAAACTACTATAAACTAAAAGGGTTTTGTTCCACTAAATCTTTCAGTAAATATGTTGATAATTCAAAATGGAATAATCAAACAATCAAAGTACATTTATGTATTAAATTCTAACATAATTGAAAATAAAATATAAATTGACATGATAAAAAGACTCGTGTAATAAAGTTTTAATGTATTAATTATAGAATTTCATTTATTTATTTAAGTTGGCCCGGACACCCGTGGTAAAAAAAAAAAAAAAAAAAAAAAAGTTGAGAAAAAAAAAAAAAACTGT